TTCCTTCCTTCCTTCCTTCCTTCCTTCCTTCCTTCCTTCCTTCTTTCTTTCTTTCTTTCTTTCTTTCTTTCTTTCTTTCTTTCTTTCTTTTTTTTCTTTGAGTCAGGGTCTCATGTAATCCAGACTAGCTTCAAACTTACTGTGTAGTTGAGGATACCCTTAATTTTCTTATCCTCCTGCCTCCAACTCCCAAATGCTGGGAATCTGAGTGTATGACATCATGCCCAGTTTACTGTGGCCTTAGGGATCGACCCCAGGGCTGCACGAGTGCTAGGCAAGCACTCTATCAACTGAGTTCCACACCCCAGCCTCTTGGGTTTAATTTTTTTTTAAACATTGGTGGTGATGTACAAATAAGAGCTTTGATTTCCAAGCAATCTCAATCTCTCTCTCTCTCTCTCTCTCTCTCTCTCTCTCTCTCTCTCTCTCTCTCCTTTTTTCTTTTTTTTTAAAAAAGGAAATAAGAGGTGGTTTATTCTGGAGCCATTTTGAGTTACCATGGTCCAGGAATAGAGATGTAGGTTACCCCACATTCATGTTCTAACATGGAAGCTTCATGAAGTTTTTATAGTTTTACAGAATAAAAAAAAAAGCCATAAATCAAGGTAAATTTAAAACACATTGGTGGGTACGTCAGAGAGGCAGTCATAGCAAGATGGGGGGAAGTTTTCTACTGGCCCAGCTGACCAGAGTTTTTCTTCTGGTAAGGACACAAGAGATAGTTTGTTCTGGAGCCATTTTGGTGCTGACCCTGGAACACAGATTTATGTTTCCCCCAAATCCATGTTCCAACAGTCCCTGTTGATAGTGGCATTGTGAAGGAGGCCCATCACCTAGGAACAATGTGGGGAGTTGTGATCTTGAATACAACCACTAGGTCACCAAAACCAATTCTCATTACAACCCTGGCTCACCAGTGTTTCAGTCTTACGGTAAGGATTTAGCCAAGCCCTGTTTGCAGAATAGTCCGAATCCTTGTATTAGTTCCAACGCCAACACACAGGGACACACACATCTTACTGCTTGTTAATAGTAGGTTAGGAGAGACGGTTCAGCAGTTAAGCACACTGGCTGTTCTTGTAGAAGACTTGAGTTCTAATCCCAGCCCCCACATTTTGGCTCACAACTGTAACTCCCCTCTTAGGGGATCTGACACTCTCTTCCACTTTCTGAGGAAAGGAGGAACACACATGGTATACAGACATACATCCAGGCAAAACATGCATACCTACAAATAAATCTAAAAATCAAATGAACAAAAAACCTCAGGGTCATTAGACTATTTGGGAAGTTGGTTTGAGCTGCCTGCTGAAGTTGATGGGTTAGAAGTGCTCCTGTGCAGGTAGTTACTGGTAAATAGTATCCCAATTTTCATAGTGCAGACACATAGAAACGGAAATTTAATATTTTCTTCTGGAGACAGGGTATCTCTACATAGTCCTGGTTGACCTGGAACTCGCTGTGTAGGCCAGACTTTCCTGGAACTCACAGAGATCCACCTGGCTCTGCCTCCTGAGCTGGGATCAAAGGCCTGGGCCACCACACCTGGCTGATTATCTGACTCTTAAGGAGAAGTACAGTGAGAGTCTGGGTGTGGAGAGCTGGCTTTTGCAGTGGTCAGACCTGCTCACCCATTTTCCCGGGTGGACCCAGCTGACGTTCTGCAGCTCGGGCTCAAACCTCACCAGTGTTGCTGTGAAGTGTGCACTGTGAAGGGCCGTGTATCTACAGAGCAGCCTCATCGCAGAGGAGGTGGCACACTGTTCAAGTGAGGTGCCTGGGCTGTCCCTGGTGGCAGATCTGAACCCATGGCTGGGGTATGTGACTTCTGTGGATTCCTGTGTCATCCTGTGTCTGACTCTCTGTCTCGTCTCTTCTGCAGGCTTTTATACATTTAGTAAACGTGGCAAAATCTCTCCTCAGTGGATGGTTTAGTCGCAAGAGTGATAGTGAGCCATCCTATTCCAGCCAGATCACTTTCTCTCAAGATATCAGTGAGAAAATTGATAAAGCTGTGAAAGAGGGGAACCTGTTGAATGTGATCAATGTGGTCAATGAAGTAATGCAGAGAATGTGTGGATATCAAGTAAGGATTGCCGTGACTGGGGACTCTGGCAATGGCATGTCATCCTTCATCAATGCCCTTAGGTTCATTGGACATGAGGAGGAGGATTCAGCTCCCACTGGGGTGGTGAGGACCACCCAGAAACCAGCCTGTTACTCCTCCTCCAGCTTACCCAATGTGGACCTGTGGGACCTGCCTGGCACAGGGGTCACAGCTCAGAGCATGGAGAACTACCTAGAGGAGATGGACTTTGAGAAATATGACCTTATCATCATCATCGCTTCTGAGCAGTTCAGTTCAAACCATGTGAAGCTGGCCAAAGCCATGCAGAGGATGA